AAATAAATTAAACGAAGAAGATGACTTAGATTTAGAATTTTAGATGGTTAAATCAAATTTGTCTTGAATTCTCGATTAAAATGTTGATTTGTGATTGGGTTGTGTGGGTCATAGGTTTTTAAAATGAAAAATGAGCTTAATTTATAGGTTATCTAGTCAAAGTTCACTAACTCAAGATGAAAAACCCAAAAAGAAATAGGCAAAAAGTTCAGTTGCTAAACAAGAGATAAAATCGAGATTTTACTCAATTTCACAGTAAAATATCGATTTTATGTTTTTGACCCCAGATTTTATGAATTTTTAATTTTGGTATAGATTTTACATGAAATGCCTTGCTGAAATTGTAAAATCATAAAATTTTACGATTTAAATCTAGATTTTGACAACACTGTTCATTAGTATCCTTAGCCTTGTCTTCTTAAAGCACACTTTTGTAAAGTTTCAAGATTCTGCAAATTTTAGGGATGTGAGTGGAAAGGAAATAACTGCATCATGTCACTGTCGCATGATCAGAAGCAAGAATACAATGTTAATTTGGAAGGAAACTTGATTTTTGGCATATTTAATACAGGCTACAAATTACAAAGGCAGAAACATGTTCATATGTTAATAGATTTGAACAATTAAGGAAAATTACAGCTGATGAAAAAGGAAAAATTAAAGCAAGCATTATCTGATCAAGATTCAAGAGAGTGCAAACACTGAAATTGTTCCTCCCATGTCATATACTTCATCTGCTACTTACACACTCCTCTTAAAGCTAGTAATATTGCAGCTTTATCTCATGCACACACCAAGAACTAAGACTAAATTGGAATCCACATATCTTTCACAGACTCAAGAACACAGATTCAGCAATCGTTGTAAATTCAGATTCACATTCCAAAGGATGAGTAAATCTGCATCTGACTGAGTATTTGCTCAAAATTATCGCTAGGCTTCTGTATGGGATGAGTATGCATCCCTTCGTAAGTAGTCTCTACAATGCTTTCGTCTCTGGTTAACCTTTGGACTTGCTTCTTTACATTACATCCTTGATGTGTGCACCTGTAGTAGCTTCTGCAGGCACATACAATATTGTTATTTGTTAATATAAACATTAATTAATTTGATCATAGGATAACATTACTTATATAATTAACTTAACACTAATAATGATAACCAATGACTTAAGTAATTTAGTGGTAATTTTTTTTGTTAAAAGTAGTAAGCAAAAGTAAGAGATAGTTTGAGTCGTATAGTATATGAATGGAGTGGAATAAGAGATGAGAGAGGGTTGTTTTTCATTGTATAATCAAGATATAAAAAAATAAAAAATAAAAAACACTAATAATAGTAATAACAGGTTACGAACTATTAAAAAAAAAGTAATAACAGGTTAGGATGCTATATTTTATGATTACAAAATAATTTAGCAACAACCTTTGTTTGTGTTATTTACATGTTATTTAATGATTTAATAATGATATTATATATATCCACTTATTTAATTACATGAAAAAGTTATAAGGAAAAATTATATAAATAGGTTGTAGCCACATCATTACTCTTTGCGATATTATTTCAACCGATAAGGACTTATATGTTGGATGTCTTAATTTTAAACCTTTCTATATATAACTTGTCATTAAATGTAGCAACTGGTAATATAAATATATTTGGGTATGTCTAAGTTATTGGTCCTCTCATTCTTAAATTCCTTCTCATTCATTTCAAAATTTGAACTTAAAATCTCCAATGTGAAGGTTTAACTTCTTAAGCACTGTGACTTTCCCTTGGGAACCAACTGTAGATATTTCTATTACATAGAAGAAGTTACAAATTCTGGGTGTTGTACGTTCTGTTGATTTATCTTTCTCTATTGATTTAAGATTAATTTCAGTTTACCAAATCTAGTTTTGGGTAATTAAAACCATTTTATATTCTTAATCACATGGAATAGATATTTCCGATTGAAAACTAGATACTGCATTAATAATTCTCTTTCTTTAAATTCCTCTTTAACGCTTCATGCATGCCGATCACGGATGTATTCAACGTCCATAAGAAAGTTAACATAGCTTTGCTATACATGTCATGTTATGATTAGTTCTTTAATTATCATTTAATTACTTTTAAAGAAAAACACTAATCCTAGCTAGACAATAATTAAGAGTTTGACAATAGTTTTAAATTTAAATCTTAAAACTGATAAAATAAAAAGAGATTTAATTGAGAAATAGGAGGCCTCTATTAGATATATGTATAGCTCACCCTAAATATAACATTTTGAAAACTATATATATTTATAGTTCATGATTCATCTAATTGCCTAATTGCACAGTGACAAGACCCTTAGAACAGAAAATCCCTAGCATATACATCCATACAAAAGGCACATGCAAATAAATGTCTATAGATATTTTCCATCTCTAATTTCTCCACATATAATGTTAATAGCCAGTATATATGAAGGATCAAGGAAATCTTATCATCAGTTAATTAAGATGCATATGGGTTACTTTATTTAGGGTTGAATGAAGAAGGATCTTATAAATTCCTTAATTATACTTAAAGATGCAAATGACAAGTTAATTATAAGTTAACTTGTCTATATCACCATAAAAAATGCAAGCAAGACCTGATGGAGGGAGGTGTGAAATTTAATTATTAGCTAGGGGAATTGAAGAAGCTGTTAACCTGGGAAATTTGTTGTTCTTAACTGCCTTCTGCCCATATTTCCTCCACCGGTAACCATCGTCCAGTATATCAACCTGACTCCTGGTTTGGAATGCATGCCTAGGCTTCCTGATCTTCTTCTCCTTAATTTTCTTTCCTGCACCTGAGGAATTTCCCACTTCACTTTTCCCTCCCATCCGAGGAAGAAGATCATTTTGACTTCCTTTAACCACATCCGATCTTTGGACAAAACTCTCTGTCTTCAACTTGAACAACCCATTTGGCGTTGCATCTCCATGAAATGTAGTTGTAGCACCGTTATAATTAATTACTTGAGGTGATGAGTTTGTTGCAGCCATGTTCGATGAACAAGGAAAGAACATTTGATAGTTCTCCATCTCCATATATATATATACGGAAATTAAGCCAGTCGATGATGACCTGAAATTTTGGGAGTAGATCGATCGAAGAAGAAAGTGAAATATATATAGCAGATACTGAGAGGAAGAGAGACGGTGGTTAGCCTCCCTTGGTTCAGGAGAGACGTATGGAAGAAAAGGATAAAAGAGGAAAATACGAATGGATGAATATATAGGGGTTGAAGGTGTCGTAGACGGCACGAAGGGGTAGAGACGAGAGAGAGGGATTAATTAGCTTCATTAGCGGATTGATTTGGAAAAAGGAAGTTGGAATAATGGAGGCGGCTTCATTCGGGGAAAATTGGACGCCGTAAGTTCAACAACAAAAAGTTTATGTGTAATTTAAAATTAATTGATAAAACGTGCTAATAACTTAAATAATTCAGTAGTAATTTTTTTTCGTTAAAAATAAGAGGTATTGAGTTAAAATCACATGATATATGTGTGGGGTGAGATAAGAAATAAAAGAGAGTTGTTTTCATTGTGCAATCAACATAAAAAAAAATAACAATAATAATTGATACCAGATGAATTAATTATTTTTGTATTTGAGAATATAAGATTTTTTTATTTAAATATGTCTTGTAGATTTGATATTAACTTTGAGTTTTATCATGTGAATTTCATATTATAGCAACAAACTTTATATATATATATATATATACATATTTTTGTGTAGATCTAAACTATCACTAGATTTCAAACTTTTAAAAAATAGAACTTAAAATTTGATACTATATGAAAATTTGACATGTAAATTTTAATATAAAATTTATATTTAATTTAAAATCAATTGATAATAAGTAAAATAACTTTGAAAATAATAATTAAACTTACATACCTTTTTAATTGACATTTTTTTAATGTAAAATTTTCTTATTTAACAAGGATAGAGACATTAATTTCTATCAATATAGAAGTACTTATTATAACTATAAAAAAACTTCTACTGCAATTAAATAATACTACTAATTTCTCGTTCACTATTATTATTCAAGCTGCATGGTTAGACTAAGAGCAGTAGCTGGTTTGCCTTGGACCGATGTATGTCCTTTTCCAAGTTCTTTCTTCTATTACTCCATTAAACAAACAAAAAGTTCGTGATTTCTTAGTTAAGCAGGATTTTATGTAAGGGTTTTTTAGATTCTTAGTTGACTAATAAGAGAGAATTTTTTCACATATTTTAATTAAAAATAATTAACATATTTTTCAATTCAACACCTTTTTTTTAATATTTATCTAATTTAGTCATTAAAATATAATATCAATACAACTAATTCAGTTAGTTTTTATATATTGTATGCGTGATTGTATTTTTAAATTTATTTACTTTTAATTTTGAACGAAAAATATTAATTTTTTAATAAATATATCGTGTAATATATTAAAATAAAAATTATACTAATCAATATCTTTTAATTTATGTTATGGTCTTGTATATTATGTAACCAGAATCTCAAAATTTTTATTTTTATATTAAAATAAATTATTATTGAATTATTTAAGTTATTAAAGAGTTTTATGGAAATCTTCTTGCACAAAGGATGATTTATGTCATGCAATATTAATGTTTTCTTAGCTTGGGACAAGAAATTGATGAGATGTAGCCCAATTGCATGGCCTAGTCTCTTGTCTTTGTCTCTATAGCTAGTCTTTGTCTTAGAGTGTGGTTTATGCTCACAAGGACGATTAAGCATCCACGTTCGCATCAATTAGTGTTAGTATTATTTCGTGTTAATTTTCGAATAATAACATCAATCTCCACGCAAGTATTGAAGATGTTCTGAACTTACGATAAAAGAAAAAGTCAACATTTTTTTTTAAAAAATATAAACATTGAGGACCAGTTTTATTATGGTATGAAAGTGATTGGAAGGTATAGTTGAAAATTATTATATAAAAAATTAATAACTTTTGCACTAAAATTTTATTATAATTTTATTAAATTGTTAATTTTTGTATATTTAATAAGAGGTTAATGTTAGAAAAATTTAGAAAAAAATCGTTAAATAAATCCCATAATAAAAAAAGTTAGAGAAAAATTTTGTTTTTTAAAAAGACATAAGAAGAAAGAAATTTACTTATTGGGATTGATACAAGGTAAAATAAAAATTTAAAATATCAATTTTACATTTTATTTATTATAATAATGAGCTGAAAAAATTTTTAAAAATGCCTTTCATAGGTAAAAAAGAAATTTATTTTTATTATTATTATTATTATTTTCAAAGCAAACACCCAAAACATCAGGTGAAATAATAAGTTTGTGGAAAAATAAAATGTTCAATTATAATTATAAAATAAGTAAAATATAATATAAATTTCAATTAAAATTTATTTATAATATGATTGAAATTAAATATTTTAATATTTTTAATATTAAGATGTTTTGATATTTTTTATATTAAGAAATTATGATTATTATTTTTAAAAATAATAATAATTTATATATTCCCTACTATACGTACACACAAGCATATGCCAATATTTCCTTCAAGGAGTTAGTCATGGTGATGGGCTGTATCAAGACAATTTCTAATGCAAAAACAAAGGTAAGACTGAGAAGGAAAAAAAAGACAAAAAAAAAATGGAAGACTGCAAACACGTGGGCAACTGATCAGCTTCAAGAAAGATATCATGTGATATTGTGATGTGAGTTCCAAAAGAAAGTGGACCAAAATTTACAACATTGGATTAGGGCAAGATCCCCTCTTAAGCTCCTAATCTTATCTTAAATTTACACTTGAGCTCATAAACTAAAAATGATGTAAATAAGCCTTCAAACTCTTTGAAAAATAAAAATCAACCCTCATCATTAACAACCCTACGAGATGACTAGAAGTCATCTATTCTTTTTCCTTGTTTAGTCTCACTATTTCACATGAATGCTTATATATAAATAAAAAAAAATCTCTTAAATAATAAAAATCTTTTTGAAGAAGGGTGAATGGAGCCATCAATGAATTGTAAAAAAAAAAAAAAAAAAAAGGAAGCTATGTAAGTTATTTTGAAGAAATTTTTATCATATAAAGAGTCTTTGATTTATATCAACATCTACATATAAAAAAATGAGATTAAGTAAAAGAAAATAACAAACCACAAAGTAGAAACCTAAGCAAAAGAAAAGAACAAACAGCATGAGATCATGTGCGATTAAGTTGTTAATGATGGGGGCAAATTTGTACCTTTAACGGGGAGAGCTAATTTGCATTATTTAAGAGATTTGAGGGTTTATTTGCACTGATTTTATATTAGGGGCTTAGGTGTTAATTTGGGATAAGTTTGAGGACTTAAAAAAAAGGAGGTTTTGCCTTGGATTAGAGCATGAATGGGTTAGGTGATGGGTCCTGTCTGCGCAGCCCATCTGGCTTCTTCATAAATTTGAAAAGCTAAAATCCATTGGCTTTGATTTTTCAAACCAACTTTGAAACGTCAAATACCCCACACCACCATTCTGTGTTAGTTGGCAAGAGACCAAAAATTTGTGGTTTATTCTTCTCTCCTCTCATTCGTGTCCTTGTCAGTGATATCTCTTCATTGTCAAATTTGTCTCCGATCTTATCTCAGCGTGGAGAAAATGTTGTCTCTCTAAATTTTAGTGTCTCTCCAAACCTTGAACAGCTCACCCTGGCATTTCTTTCTTCAAAAGAAAAATCATTGCAATATGGTCTCCAATTCTATTTTCCAAGAAGAGTATTAAGAATATAATTAAAAATGATTAGCAGTAGTTAATTATATAACACCTATGATATTTTTTTTTATCTTTGATAAGTTGTGTATTTTAAATACGTGTGAGTTGTATATATCAAGAAGAAAATGGAGTTGAATTCAACAATGATAAACATCGATTAATTTCAAAGTTGTATTTCAAACATTGAATGTGAATATATTCAATGACAAAGCAAGCATAACATTGAAAGAAAAGGCCAAGAAGTAAAAGCAAATGTGTGGTTTACAAACATGAAATTCAAAGAAAGAATAATGTGATAGCAGTCATAACCAATAAGAGCGTTGTCCACATCAAAGAAACCAGACATGGGTTAGGTTCAAGAAGCTATCAATGGCTGCCCACCCTTGATTTTCATCTTGAGGCTAGTAATTTTATTCTTTTTTTTTTTATCTAGAATTTAAAATGCTTGCTGATAGCTACCATTTTTGAAAGGCAATCCACCTCAGATCAGTTAAGCTCTGAACTTTGCTCATCCTGTAAAGGTCAGTCATATTCTACATCCCTGTTCTATAAGGTATCCACCAATTCATTATTTTCCAAAGCAAAAGAAACTGGTAAAAGTTGAGAAACAGGAAGTGCAATACAATAGGAACTGCTTTTATTGTTTGTTTCAGTATTCTGAAAAAGCAACACCTCCTTTTAGATGAAACAAGGAAATTAGATGAAACAAGGAAATTATTTGCTGGTTTCTATGATGTCTTGCGGAACAGGTAAATGTCTCTATTAGACCATGCTAACGTGTGCGTTCAACAAGGAATTACATATAAGACCGCATGCGAGGCCTTGTTATAGACATGGCTCCGTCCACATATATGGTGGTACCAGTCATATAGCGTGACCCATCACTGATTAAATAGATGACAGTGGAGGCCAGATCGTTTTTAACGTCAAGCCATCTATGCAGGGGCACTGCATCGTTGACCAACTTCTCTGCCCTGTCCTTTCCAACTGACCTTGGAAATTCATCCTCCAAGTGCAAGCCACGGGCGATTGCATTAACCCTGATGTTGTGCTTTCCAATCTCCAAAGCTGATAACTGAGAATACAATAAAAGAGCTCTGGAAAAGCTTAGAACCAGGAGGGAGAGAAATAGAACAGAAATTGGAAGGAGAAACCACTAGCATTTCATGAATTCTCCTAACAGGATAAATGATTAGATATCCGATGCATACAAGAATGAAGAATTATGGGTAGAGATGTTTCATTTCAAAAAGAAACCTAGTCTTGCAAAGGATTTGAATTTTTTCATAAGACAAACGTTTATGAAGTAAAAATACCATAAAAGGCTCCCAGCTTAAAGTTTTAAGGTAGGAATCATATCAGATTTCATTGTTGAAATTGGAAAATGATTGCAAAGAAGGGATATTGATAAATTTACTTACCCTGACTAGCTGCTGGACTCCTGCCAAACAAGAACCATATGCAGCAGCTCCTGAATAAAGTCCTCTCTCAGCGCCAATTATTGAGTTCAAGAATATAATAGAACCCCCTGATTTGCAGTCCCGCATTTTTTTGCCAATAGCTTTTAACAAAAACCATGCAGCCATAAAATTTATCTTTACTATTTTTCTGAACTCATCTTCAGGCAACTGCAGAGGGTCTTGCATCTTTCCTGTTTCACGAAGTTAAATTCAATGATATTTCTTCCAACACCATTCCTAATGTATAGGGTCTTAAGAACATAATACCAGTGATTCAATCAAATATAGAAGAGAAACTTTATGTACTTATGTTGTACTTATCTTGCCCTTGTAGCTGAGAAAATCTTAGTCCAAGGAAAGAGGGTCATGATTTACCAAACGAAATACACGCACGCAGGCACACACACGCACGCACACACACAAAAAGTTCTGAGTTTTGTTAATAAGGTCTCAAACTACTCCAGTGGTAATGTTTCTTAAGAACTGCACACACACACACACACACACACAAAGTTCTGAGTTTTGTTAATAAGGTCTCAAACTACTCCAATTGTAATGTTTCTTAGGAAATGCAAAAGATAAATCAGCAATTAAGCATGAACTGAGATAAAACTGATGAATTGAACCACATCAAATTAAAGATGTGATAAAAATCTTCCACTGAGGAGTTATTTCTATAACTAGTAACTGCCCTGATGTGTGTATAGAGTATAGACAATTTCACTTGTTTACTTGATCTATGCTTAACACAATCAACTGTCTCCTCCTTTTATCATGTATCAGACATTCAGATCCCAGTGCACGCCAAACCAAATTTTGGCATTCCTAATGTTTGCTAACTAGGTGGTATGCTAAACCATTTTATATCTCAGTCAAGAATTTTGGGCGCCTCATATATATATATATGTAAGCCATTGTCTTTCTCAAGGTCTGGATAAGGGTATGGAGCAGCAAGATGTTGATTACCCTTCTAACTTCCACACGTTTCAAAATGTGCGTACACGATTCTGTGTACGTAATTATGGTATATTTTATATCTAAAGACAAAAGAGCCGACCATTTTCTTAAACCTCGCAGTTGAAAATTACTTTGGTCTTTGTTTCCTTTTTGCCCTTCACCTTTTTCTGAATAGGACATAGCAGATTCATGAAATCTAATTAAAATAATAACATGAATAGTAAGAGATGACTCACAAGCCACCACAATGCACTATTCTCAATTGGCATCAAAAGAAAAAATCGAGGTTCAAAGCATTTTGTTAACTTTGAAAATCGCACATAGATCCATTAAAATAAAATACATGGACAGCATATAATATGCAAAGTTTATCTCTTACTAGTTAATTTTAAAATACATATGTATTTATTTTTTTATAAAAAAATATTTTACAATTTAAATTATTTTAAATAATAAAAAATACTTTTTTAATATTAACCATCTACCATAACTTCATGAAAAAAAAAAAAAAAGGAAATAAAGAAAAAGTGTAATAATACATGTACCTTCATAAGAGTAGCAGTGCACAAAAGCATCACAGTTGCCCAACATCTTCCAAGCCCTATTCACCGCGTCATCAAAAATTCCCTCTCTATCATCTTCCATATCCAAACCAACCACCTCCACTGGCACCACAGCCTCCACACAACCCACTATCTTGTCTCGAACAGTAGTGAGACGGCACACATCACCCATCAAAACCAACCTAATCACATCTTTCTCAGAGTCAAAATTTGTGGAATCGAGAAATAAAACAAGGTTTAAAGAGGTCATAAAAGAAAAAGAAAACACCCAGAAAAAAAAGCTCAATTCTTTTCATTATAATTAGCAAAAAGAAGCATCTTATTAATGTTTCCCATTCCATCCAACGAGAACCCAGAATCTGCAACATGCAAAGACCCAATTTTTCTTTTCATTCCTACTGCAAAACACATGAATAGAAATAAATTAACAAGATAGGGATTCAGAAATCAAAAGGGTTGAGAAGTAACCTGCAGCCCTGTTTGGCTAAACTCAGAGCAATGTTCTCAGAAATCTCATCCCCATTTGAAGTGAGCAAGACGTTCTTCGCCTGAATTCCCATTTCCCACACCTCACTGCCCACCAAAAATCAAAACCAGATTCAGAATCAATCAAAAAGAAGAACGAAGAAACAAGGAAAAAAAATTTAAAAAAAAAAAACCCACACCGTTACCAACAATGAATTAGAAGAAAGTTCTGATACTTCGTGAATTGATAGTTCTGTAATCGTAGTTCTTTCTAATATATAGCCGCGGTTCTCAAGTCCACCACGTGTCTCGAATCCCAGTGTTGAGTTTTGTGTTAGTATTAGTAATATTATATTTCACTATTTCAGAATTATTTAAAACGGTTTTACTTATTTTATGAGTTTTTTTTTATATAAAAAACAGATTTATATTTTGTGAAGGAGGATTCAAATTGAATCGCAACTCTTGGATTAACAGTACATTTTACTATAAAATATATAGTTATTGAGCATAAATTATAAGTGGTTATAAGTTTTTTAATTGAATAATTAATATTTATATAAAAAAATATAAATTATATTATTTTACTAAATAGGAGTATGGATTTAATTAAAATTATTTATTTATATCACTTTGATTTTGGTGTTTAAAAATATATATTCGTAACATCTGAACTTTCGAGTCTAATAACATTAGTCACATTGAATAAATGCACTTTTTTTTTGAATGAGTTTAATTCCATATCATGTCAAATTATTCAAATATATATATATATATATTTGTAGATTAGTAGAAAATTCTTATTTTATTTTATTTATATTTTGTGAAGCATCAAGTTTGGAATTGGAACTACATTGGACATTTACATTTTACTTCCAAAAGCTAAATTTCCAGTGTTTTTTTAGTCTTGGTCATGGTGCAGTGAATAATGTAAAGGACACAGTAGACTCCATCCAGTGTGGGATGCTGAGAAATTGAGAAATTTCTCGATACTTGTTGATTTAATTTATTTTTATTTACTTACCCTTTTTGTGAATGAATGGATGGCTATTTCTTTATGCTTTCTTTTCCCACCGTTTATCCTATTTCTTTGTGCTCTGTTTTCCCACCTTTTACCTATTTCTTTGTGCTTTCACTTTACCCCTTTTATCGTGTCTGCCCCCAGGACGGTCAATGGCCAGCGATAATGATAACAACGTGAAGTTGTGAACTCAAATCTAGCTAATATGAAACTTGTGACTCGATGGGTTGTGGAACTTAATGATGGGTAAAAGATCACCCGTTTTGATAATTGGAAATTCGATGGGTCGTGCATCTTAATGACGGGGTAAAAGATCACCTGTTTTGGTAATTAAATTTTTAATTGTTAATAATTTTTAATTTAATTGCTAATTATTATCTTTCTCAAAAAAAAAAAAATTACCTAATATGGATTTTGATAATAATATATAATTATAATATTATATAAAATTATTAATTTATAATTATAATGAAGAGGAGTGCTAGGGGCACTCGCCTTCTGCACTCTCCGGACAATACTTTCACTTTGATTAGGTCACGTTATTCTTGTCGGCGAGAGGTTCACTTCAAACTCTGAAACACGCTTACGTGGCCCAATGAAAGGGGAAGTGCTAGCCGGAGAGTGCAAGAGGCGAGTGCCCCTAGCATTGCTCTTATAATGAAATATTAAATGAATTTTTATGTTATTAATAGCATAACAAAGAATTAATAAAAGATACTAATGAATTGTTGATTTGAGTAGAAAAAATTTAATTTTTTTAAAAATAAGATTTTTAATTTGAGTTTTATAAATAAAAAATAAATGTTAAGAAAGTGTTTTTTTATGAGGTTTAACGTAATTCAATTCTAAACTAATCGAGTTCAATATAATTTTAAAAATTCAGGAGATTAGAACCAAAACTATGTTGTTTTTATCTTTTTAAACTTGGGTTTTTAGCATATTTTTATCTTAAAAGAAGATTTAAGGGTAGGGTTTATAATATTATTTTTTTAATCTTAATTTGGGTATTTCCATGTTTTAAAATTTTAGAATTGACGTGAACTATTTAAACAATTTAGTAGTTATCTCGTTTTATTGAAAGTAAAAAATCTTCCATTCAAATTGTATGATATACGAGTGGAATGGGATAAAAGATATGAGATGTTTGCTTCCGATTATACAACTAATATAAAAATAAAAAATTAGAATTGATAGTAAAACTTTTGCCTAACCATTCAACATTGTGGTTCTATTGCTGCGGTGTGTTATTAAATTAATAAATATATATTATAAGTAAATTTTGAATGAAAAAAAGTTAAATATATGTTAATACATATACTATAAATACATAATATTATGTAGTATTGTAAATATATGTTTTTCATGATGATTTTGTTTAATTTCTCAATAAGGCTTAATTATTCTTAATTTTTTTGAAAATGTTTCAATTTAATGTTATTTTTATAGGTTGACTAAAGTTTTACTCTGGAGTACTTTACATGGGCGTAATACTTTTTTTTTTCTGTAGCACAATTTCTAAAAATAAAAATTTATTATAAATAACTAATTTTAATTAAAGTTATATATTTTTAATATTTTTTTCTCAGAAATCTCATCCCCATTTGAAGTGAGCAAGACGTTCTTCGC